ATAGTCTTGACTATAGACTAATCTATAGTCTTGGCTATAGACTAATCTATAGTCTTGACTATAGACTAATCTATAGTCTTGACTATAGACTAATCTATAGTCTTGACTATAGACTAATCTATAGTCTTTACTATAGACTAATCTATAGTCTTGACTATAGACTAATCTATAGTCTTGACTATAGACTAATCTATAGTCTTGACTATAGAATAATCTATAGTCTTGACTATAGACTAATCTATAGTCTTGACTATAGACTAATCTATAGTCTTGACTATAGACTAATCTATAGTATTGACTATAGACTAATCTATAGTCTTGACTATAAACTAATCTATAGTCTTGACTATAAACTAATCTATAGTCTGGACTATAGACTAATCTATAGTCTTGACTATAGACTAATCTATAGTCTTGACTATAGACTAATCTATAGTCTTGGCTATAGACTAATCTATAGCCTGGACTATAGTCGTGACTATAGACTAATCTATAGACTTGAATATAGACTAATATATAGTCTCGACAATAGACTAAACTTTAGTCTAAACTATAGACTAATCTATAGCCATAAATATGAACTATTCTAAAGTCTTGACTATGGACTAATCTATAGTATTGACTATAGACTAATCTATAGTCTTGACTATAGAGTAATCTAAAGTCTTGACTATATACTAATCTATAGTCTTGACTATAGACTAATCTATAGTCTTGACTATAGACTAATCCATAGTCTTGACTATAGAATAATCTATAGTCTTCACTATAGACTTATCTATTTCGTGACTTTAGACTAATCTATAGTCTTGACTATACACTTATCTATAGTCTTGACTATAGACTAATCTATAGTCTTGACTATAGACTAATATATAGTCTTGACTATAGACTAATCTATAGTCTTAACTATAGACTAATCTATAGTCTTGACTATAGACTAATCTATAGTCTTAACTATAGACTAATCTATAGTCTTGACTATAGACTAATCTATAGTTTTGACTATAGACTAATATACAGTCTTGACTATAGACTAATCTATAGTCTTGACTATAGACTAATCTATAGTCTTGACTATAGACTAATCTATAGTCTTGACTATAGACTAATCTATAGTCTTGACTATAAACTAATCTATAGTCTGGACTATAGACTAATCTATAGTCTTGACTATAGACTAATCTATAGTCTTGACTATAGACTAATCTATAGTCTTGGCTATAGACTAATCTATAGCCTGGACTATAGTCGTGACTATAGACTAATCTATAGACTTGAATATAGACTAATATATAGTCTCGACAATAGACTAAACTTTAGTCTAAACTATAGACTAATCTATAGCCATAAATATGAACTATTCTAAAGTCTTGACTATGGACTAATCTATAGTATTGACTATAGACTAATCTATAGTCTTGACTATAGAGTAATCTAAAGTCTTGACTATATACTAATCTATAGTCTTGACTATAGACTAATCTATAGTCTTGACTATAGACTAATCCATAGTCTTGACTATAGAATAATCTATAGTCTTCACTATAGACTTATCTATTTCGTGACTTTAGACTAATCTATAGTCTTGACTATACACTTATCTATAGTCTTGACTATAGACTAATCTATAGTCTTGACTATAGACTAATATATAGTCTTGACTATAGACTAATCTATAGTCTTAACTATAGACTAATCTATAGTCTTGACTATAGACTAATCTATAGTCTTAACTATAGACTAATCTATAGTCTTGACTATAGACTAATCTATAGTTTTGACTATAGACTAATATATAGTCTTGACTATAGACTAATCTATAGTATTGACTATAGACTAATCTATAGTATTGGCTATATACTATTTTATAGTCTTGACTACAGACGATTCTATAGTCTTGACTAGTCTTGACTATAGATTAGTTCATAGTAAAGACTATACATTAGTCTATAGTTATAAATATAGATAAGTCTATAGTCAAAACTATAGATTAGTCCATAGTCAAGACTATAGATTAGTCTGTAGTCTTGACTATAGATTATTCTAGTCTATAAGCCGGTTGACTATAAACTGGTCTACAGTATCGACTATGAATTGGTCTATAGTCGTCCAGGAGAAGTTTTAGTGAATATTTTGTTTCCTATTAAAATTTCTCATCTAATTTTTTTTAAATTTCTCAGTTTAAAAAGTAAAACAAAAATACATCATGCGACTATTAATTACAATTTATGCATATGATCTAAAATAAAGTTCCGTATAATTTTCTACAAGATTAAATATTATTTAAATTAGCAATTTTAGAAATTAATTTTCAACAATGATACTCTTTGTTAAACTGAAATGAAAATAAACGAACTTTCTTATTTAAATAATATATAAAGTACATTAAGAAAAATCTGATCATGACAGTGAGGCATTAAATGAATTGCATCAAGCAACCAATCAAACAGAAATATAGGCAGTTAGTCACTCTAACGTTTGGATGATTTTTTTATTGCTATTAAAATGATGATGATGGTGATGATGACGTTAAAGACACACGCCAAATGTACAAATATTTGCAAGAAAGCAAATCAAAATTATACAAACAAATGCAAAATGCAGTGCAGTGGAAATGCAAATATTTATTTTAAATATCCAACTGTTATAAGAGATAAATAAATAATTCAATATAATAAATTGTAGTATTTTTTTCTCTCTGGTACCAAATCATGTCTTAAAAATAAGAAAAAACATTCAAATGAAAATAAAATTAATGTGAACCGCATTTAATAGGTATGTAGGTAATTAGTAATTGCGTTCTGTTACTGCAACAAATAAAGGTAAAATGTATGTATGTTTGGATTCGAATAGCTCAGTGTCTCCTCTATTTAATATGCCGGCCGTGTGCATACACTTGCCAATTTGAAATATGCAAAATAAGTTGTTGTTGTTGTTGTTATAAGTTACACTGGAATTTTCTGTATTTATAACGATTTAAATGCGTTTTAAATAAATATTTATTTTTTTGTTATTTATATTCATATGTATGTAAATATATATAAAATATATTGAAATATGTTCAATTTATAAAATTATTATTATTTTATGTATGACCTTGTATAGTCTCCAAGTGTCATTATGGTTTAAAGCAGATATTTAAATGAGTGCAGTGTTGCTTTAATTGTAAATAGTCTTTGAGTGGTAATGACACAACTATACTCTGTATAATTATAACATAATTAATGTGTTTCAGATTATTTAGACCCACATAGGTAAGTCCCGATTATATTCTTAGACGATCTAGCCATGTTCGTCCATCCTCCGTCAGTTGATATAACAGTAGTGAAAGCAAAGAGTTAAGCTTTTGAATTGTTACCCAGAAAATGATTTTGCATAGTGAGACATACAAATATTTCAAATCGGAATTAAAATATTTAAATAAATATCAAATATTTTAAGTTAAATTAAAATTAAGATAATTTAATTCTAAATAGAATTCATTCTTTCTAAGCTCTGCTTCCTGTGCATTTCAGAATGTGTTGTACAATCCCTATGTCCAAAAGAACCTATATTCCTAATAAAAATATTATCGTAAATTTACAGATCGATATTTGGTTCCTTTTTGAAAATTCCGGCGTTTACCAATCTCTGTTCTGGACTGTAGTCTAACGCATTGTGTTGGCTACAGATAACTCCATAGTATTGACTATAGACTACTTTATAACTTTGACTATAGGCTACTGTATAATCTTGACTATAGACTAATCTGTAGTATAGATTAATCTATAGCTTTGACTACAAGACTAATTTATAGTCTTGACTATAAGTAGACTTATCTATAGTCTTCACTATAGACTAATCTATAGTCTTGACAATAGGCTATAGTCAAAGCTAATCTTTAGTAAAAAATGTTTACTTCTTCTAAAACATACATGGACTTGATTTAAGAAGGAATCAAGACTATAGACTAATCATATACTAATCTATAGTCCCGACTATGGACTAATCTATAGTCTTGACTATAGACTAATCTATAGTCTTGACTATAGACTAATCTATAGTCTTGACTATAGACTTATCTATAGTCTTGACTATAGACTAATCTATAGTCTTGACTATAGACTAATCTATGGTCTTGACTATAGACTAATCTATAGTCTTGACTATAGACTTATTTATAGTCTTGACTATAGACTAATATATAATCTTGGCTATAGACTAATCTATAGTCTTCACTGTAGACTTATATATAGTCTTGACTATAGACTAATCTATAGTCTTGACTATAGACTGATCTTTAGACTTCACTATAGTCTTGACTATAAACTAATCTATAGTCTTGACTATAGCCTAATCTATAATCTTGACTATAGACTGATCTATAGTCTTCACTATATACTAATCTATAGTCTTGACTGTAGACTAATATACAGTCTTGACTATAGACTAATCTATAGTCTTGACTATAGAACAATATGACTTGACTGTAGGCCAATTTATAGTATTGACTATAGACTAATCTATAGTATTGACTATAGACTAATCTACAGTCTTGACTATATACTAATCTATAGTCTTGACTATAGACTAATCTATAGAAAAAATTTCCTAAAAATACAAAAACATGAGAGATTTCAAGGGGACGTAAAGGTACTTTATTCTGAAAGTACTTTTTTACTCTTGTAGTGTAATTTTTTAAGATTAATTTTGATTGGTATACTGTAAATCCCCGGTTATGCTGCTAATTAATAAACTCCTTTACAAATCTGGAACAAACCACAGGCAAAGAAAAACTTGACAAAGAGTAGGCGTTTGGGTAGGATTTAAATTAAAACAAATGTACAAGAATTTCACAAGGACTTTATACGATTGTTATTATTATTCTAAAGAAGTAGGCGGTCTACCATAAATAACTTTTATATTAAATAAAGACAATTACATGTTGCCATACAAATAACTTAAAAATTAAAAAAAAATATATAAATTAAATTTACCTTTTTTTCCTTTATTTACAGAGGTTACAATAAATACGCCGAAGATACGACATCACGTGATAGTGATTCTTTAATACAAGAATATGGTAATATATCAACAGATGAAGTGAGCACATATTGTTGGCGACATCCCAAAGTACGAGAAAATTGGCGTACTGTCTTAGCAGCCGTTACATTGTTAATCGTTGGCACCGGTCTATTTGTTATGGGTACATTTGCGGTTGCCGATCCAGCGAACACCTCACAGGGTGTAGTATTTTTTGTAGCCGGTCTTATATGTTTTATACCAGGCGCCTATCATGTTGTCTATATATGGCTGGCTGCCAAAGGCTATCGAGGGTTTGATTTCTATCATTTGCCACTATTTACATAAAAATCCTTTTTTTTTATTTAAATAATTTTATGCTTAAATTAAAAAAAAGGAACAAAAACAACAAGATAATCTCTTATAATTTTTATTTTAAATATTAATACAGAAATACACACACACACACGATTTAAAACGAATTTTATGGTGGTAATATTTTTTACAAAAGAACTTAAATGTTAAAAAGTAAAAATAAAATCATTAAAAAATATTTTTTTTGTTTAATTTTTTTTTAATTTAAAAAATTCTCTACACCCCCACCTTTTTTTTAAGAAAAAAAAAAAACAATTATTAAACATTTTTTTAAAATAAACTACACCAGATAAGAATAAAAAAACAATTAATTAATTAAATGTACTATAAATATTAATTTAATTTGTAAAGTGTTTAATTAAAAACAAACAAGAGAATAAAATAAATGTACTAATTTTTATTTTTGTAATTGATACGAAAGACTATATAAATAATTTCTTTTCTTTGTAATATAAGGCATAGTTTTTTATATATATATTAAACAAAATAATAATAATAATACATATTTAAATTAATTTACTTAAATATAAAAACAAACAAAAATTTAATTTTTACTATCTTTTTTTTTTAACTAAACTTTTTTCAAACTTTTTTTTCTGTCTAAATTAAAATTTCGTTGCTATAACTACCAAATTTTCCATAAAAATTTATATTTTAATAATATTTATAATGTAAATATTGTAATTTCGATTCGGCTGGGCCGAATATTTTATAACCTCCTTTATTTTTTGTAGTAAAAATTTTACATATATTGAATTGCTTTAAAAGGACTATAAGATCGCCTAATCGTATTTTTAGTTCTTTTTTATAAAAGTACTATTTGAAGAACGAAAAAGTAGCATTTCATCATGACATTGTAGTTTTTATTTCATATTTCTATGTTCAATATTATAGAAAATAAAAAAAAGTACCATTTGATGAATGAAAAAGTACCAAAAACTTTCATCTTTTAAGGACCCTTCATCTTTCATCTTTTAAGGACCCTTCTAAGGACCCTGTATATTAAATTTTATGTTTCTAGTATCAATATTATAGAATAATCAAAAAGTACCATTTGGAAAACAAAAAAGTACCAAAAAGTTCGCTCTTCACTTAGAACCCTGCCTGTAAAATGTAGTATTTCTATGTTCAATTTTCTAGAATAATCAAAAAATACATTTGAGGAACGCGAAAAGTACCCCCTTAGAGATTTAGAGATAGATTCAATATTAGAGGAAAGCACTTTTTCACGATTAAATTTTCAAAATACTCAATTATGAACAATACTTCCTCGGGATTTTATTCCCTTTTGCATGCTTTATGTATAGGAGGGGGAACAAACTCCACGGGTATATTTGTAGATAAAAGTCAAACGATACAAATCTGAATTGAATTGCTCAAGAAAGATTATGTTTTAGAAAAGTGCCAACCAAACTACTTACACTAATTTAGTCCTATACAGGCCTTAGTACCCGATTGTCAAATAACACACTAATCGCACATTTCAAAACTCAAACCTTTTTCTATAATAACATTACTCTTTTACAACTAGAGTAATTTTTGGTAATGAGTTGATATGTGGTTAAGGTCAATTATGGACCGAAAGCTAAACAAGTTGAAACTATTGACAAATAAATACTGATATTTATAAGGACAAATCCAGTTATCAACTCACTATATATTGAACATTAATTTCTGTAAACAATACCAGAAGAAGCTTTAACTCTGAAGCTCATTTTTCGAGGACGTAATTGGACCAAGTTTTAGCAAAACTTTCTTGGCAATTATCAACCCTCAAATAATACAGAAAAAGGCAGAAATTGTATTCGGTCAAAATTCAACAAAGCTTGAATATTGTATTTAAAATTCCAAATTTCATAAAAAAAGCCAAAATTTCTGACACGATACATAAGTTTCTTCAAATCCTAGGGAAGAAAAAACTTGTGTTTCTCTAATATGAATATGCTAGTGGTTTAGTATATCGATTCACAATTTCGTATACAACATAAATAAGTCTTATCGGTCCATATTTGACCTCATATGGATAAATTGATAAAATTAGACATACATCAAAATATCTCGATCACGTTTCATAAGAATAGGTCATAAATTGACCATATCTTTCTCTTTCGGAAATTCAGTTTATAATTAAAAAATCGTTCAAAAATTATGGTTTTAAGATAAAATTCGAAATTTTTTTTAAGGATTTAAATACTGTAGAGCTCGGTAGGTAATTTAGCAAGGACCCGTATTCTGAAATCAATCTGATATTTATGTTGATATATTTATGTACATTAGAGGTGTCCAAATATTATCAATTTTACTCACATGGATCTTATTTTGTTCATTAGTGTCTAAAACTAACTGGTGTAAATAGATTGAAAAGTGTAAAATTGGGTAAATAATAGGACTTTTTTAAATTCTTCAAAAATTGGACACCTCTTAGGTACATACATATGATAATAAAATTCGGCATAAATCTAATAAATCATTAAACTGTGGCAATAAATGTGAAAAGGTTCGATCTATTAAGACCTCCATCAACACATGTTTAAATGGAGGCTATATAAGATTCGGCATTACCGAATATAACACTCTTACTTCTGGCACGATTAGTCAAAGCCAAGGTTTGAGCAATCTGACAAAATTGGTTAAAAGGTATAAATTTAATTTCCGAAAGCCCCGTATTCCGAAATCAATCTGCTATTAATTTTCCGAACACTCTTACTTCTGGTACGAATAGTCAAATCCAAAGTTTGAGTACTCTGACAAAAAATGGTTAAATCAATCTGCTATTAATATCGATATACAATTCATCATAAAACTAAAAAATTATTAAACTGTGGTAACAAATGAGAAAAGGTTCGATCTTTAAAGACCTTCATCAAAACATGTTTTGTGGTTAGCTATATAAGATTCGGCATTGCCGAATATAAAACTACGATTTGAGTAACATAACAAAAATGGTAAAAAGTTTTAAAAAGCTCAAGTCTACTGCCAAAAAAACCACCCATATGACTACTCACAGTAATATTTTTTTAAAAACTTTCAGTGATTATTTTTAATTTTAAAAACTAAATTATAAATTAATTTTAATAAAATAAATGAATTATTTTTTATCTAGGAGGTTATAAAAATTACATTATTTACAACTTTATAAATACAAAAAAATTCTTATTTTTGAATACTCTAACAGACTGTACGACAAGGTCGAAAAATATAGGTGAGTCATGAATAAACTGTATAGAAAACATTTTCGAATAATTTTTATAAAATTTTTTTACGTCCCCATTCTTTTCGACTTTGAGAAACAGGCAATAAATTAAGTTTTAATTTTAAAATTTAAATTAAGTTTTAATTTAAAAACATTGAACAAAAAATTAAAATGAAAAAACATGGTTGTAAAAATAAATTTAATATTAATTTATATAATATTATTTTATACAGTTATAAAATAATAATTTAAAAAATTTGCCATTGGAATTTGTAATACAGTTTTAAGATAATAAGATATTAACAAAACTGGTCAGATTTTAAAGACTAGAGTGAAAAGTAATCAATATTAGTCAAAAAGGGGGTTCATAGTACAAAAAAGGTTTCCTGCTAAAAGTGATTAAGCTTTGCAAATCTGACTCGACTATTGATTTAAAACCCTATTACAAATTCTAACTGCAAATTATCATCTCTAATTATTATTTTTTTAAATACATTTATAAGTGTTCATTATAAGTTTTTAATTTTTTTAAATATTATTTAAAATATAGAAAAAAACAAATACTTCATACACCCACACACTTTCATTCATTCTTAGTTTTTTAATCTAAAGTTTAAAGTAAAATATTAAGCTTAATAATTAATTAAAAACTATAAAATAAATACAAAATGTTTATATGAAATCGCTAACAAATTCCCCTTACATATTTACATAACGAATCAAAAAAATAATAATAATAATAACACCAATTTAGAAACCAAAAAAACAAAAAGAAATAATAATTTTTTGTTTTAAAATTTATAGATTTTTTGTTTTATTTTTCATTTTGAATTTACGCTTTCATTTAAGAATGAAAAAAAATCATTCTTTTAAATGTTTTGTGTAAGTATTACTTTTCGTTACTTTTTATTTAGTTTAAATTTTATAATCGAGAAAAAATTTAAGAACTAGTTCAAAAATTTAGAAATTTAAATCATTGGCTAGAAAATTTTCTAGAAAATGTTATAATCAAATCATAATTACATAATTATGATAGTTTTTAAATATTTTAAATATAAATACAACTTTTAAACAAATGTTTAAATTTACTTTTTATTAAACAATTTCTTTAAATTTTAATTATTTTTATTTACGTTTCTTAGAAACTTTTTATGCGTTAATATCAAAAAACCGTCCCTAAGATTAAAAAATCCTCTTTTTTCGAAAATTTTATAAATTAAATTTGCCTAAAATTAGCTATAATTTGCAAAAAAAAAATTACTAAAAGGAAATTATATTTTTATTGAAACGCTACAAACAAAAACGAAGAGGATATTCACGTTTTGAAGCAATTTTTAAATAGAACAGTTCCAGTCCAGTTCTGGTTATCGTGGTAGTTCTCTGCCCCCGAACTTTAGAGTAAAGTCGAAGATACTCCGTTCAGTTATAGTTCTGTGCGCGAATGGTCAAGAATAATCGAAGAGATTCGTTCAACTCTGGTTTAGTTCTAATTCAGTTCTAGTTGAGTTCTACTTCAGATCTAGTTCAGTTCTAGTTCAGGTCTAGTTGAGTTCTAGCTCAGTTCTAGTACAGTTCTAGTTTAGTTCTAGTTCAGTTCTAGTTCAGTTCTAGTTCAGTTCTAGTTCAGTTCTAGTTCAGTTCTAGTTCAGTTCTAGTTCAGTTCTAGTTCAGTTCTAGTTCAGTTCTAGTTCAGTTCTAGTTCAGTTCTAGTTCAGTTCTAGTTCAGTTCTAGTTCAGTTCTAGTTCAGTTCTAGTTCAGTTCTAGTTCAGTTCTAGTTCAGTTCTAGTTCAGTTCTAGTTCAGTTCAGTTCTAGTTCAGTTCTAGTTCATTTCTAGTTCAGTTCTAGCTCAGTTCTAGTTCAGTTCCAGTTCAGTTCTAGTTCAGTTCTTGTTAAGTTCTAGTTCAGTTCAGTTCTAGTTCAGTTCTAGTTCAGTTCTAGTTCAGTTCTAGTTCAGTTCTAGTTTTTTTCTAGTTATTTTCTAGTTTTGTTCTGTTCTAGTTCTTTTCTAGTTCTGTTCTAGTTCTTGTTCTAGTTCAGTTCTAGTTCAGTTCTAGTTCAGTTCTAGTTCAGTTCTAGTTCAGTTCTAGTTCAGTTCTAGTTCAATTCTAGTTCAGTTCTAGTTCAGTTCTAGTTCAGTTCTAGTTCAGTTCTAGTTCAATTCTAGTTCTTTTCTAGTTTTGTTCTGTTCTAGTTCTTTTCTAGTTTTGTTCTAGTTCAATTCTAATCGAAGAGATGTCGTTCAGTTCTAGTTTAGTTCTAATTCAGTTCTAGTTCAGATCTAGTTCAGGTCTAGTTGAGTTCTAGTTCAGTTCTAGTACAGTTCTGGTTTGGTTTAGTTCAGTTCTAGTTCAGTTCTAGTTCAGGTCTAGTTGAGTTCTAGTTCAGTTCTAGTACAGTTCTAGTTTAGTTTTAGTTCAGTTCTAGTTCTGTTCTAGTTCAGTTCTAGTTCAGTTCTAGTTCAGTTCTAGTTCAGTTCTAGTTCAGTTTTAGTTCAGTTCAGTTCTAGTTCAGTTCTAGTTCAGTTCTAGTTCAGTTCTAGTTCAGTTCTAGTTCAGTTCTAGTTCAGTTCTAGTTCAGTTCTAGTTCAGTTCTAGTTCAGTTCTAGTTCAGTTCTAGTTCAGTTCTAGTTCTGTTCTAGTTCTTGTTCTAGTTCAGTTCTAGTTCAGTTTTAGTTCAGTTCTAGTTCTGTTTTAGTTCAGTTTTAGTTCAGTTCTTAAATCACGGATTTTCCTCTAATTAGAAATTGCCTTCAAAGGTGAATACCCCTAATAATTACACATCATTAAACTTTAAAGAATTTTGTATACATTACTCAGAAATCTCAAAAAAAGCTAAATATGTAAAAAGGCTATGCACAATGCTTAAGAGCTAAATGTTAATTAAATTTTAATGTACAAATTAAATAAATATTTGCTAACACAATAAAGGGCACACTAAAGATATGGCACAATATGATATTAAAATTATGACCACAAAATTTACAGATTTAAAACTAAATGAATTTAAAACTGCCTTTCTCTAACGATATTCTCCGAAGACGTTTACAGGAAATATTCGATTTTAATTTACTGTAAACTTAATCTTATTCGCAATTAAAACGTGTAAAGTCTTAATCGTAATTCCATAATTCGGTAGTTGACGTGGTAGATACATAATTTCATTCAAATCGATGGTGTACTTAATTTTCTACAAATCTAACAAAACACGCTCACATCTAACATAAAGAAACGCTTTAAAAAGCTCATTAAATATGTGCCAAAGAAACTTTTAAGCACTAGACTCGCAAATTACACAAAAAGTTAAATAATCAATTATTTATACAGATATCAGAACCACATACATAACTTAAACTAAAACCAAAATTACACAAAAAAAATTTCATCATACTTGTATTATTAATCTTATTATTTAAACAATACTTAAGAGCTTTTGAACGATAGAGAAAAACACAAGATATTGATTTTAAGATACGTAAGTTTAAAACTGTGTAATAAGTATGAGTAAAGAATAGTATTAAAAAAAGAATATAAAGAGCAAATAAAGAAATATGGAAAATAAAAAAAGAAAAATTATTTTAAATTTTTTAATTAATCAAGGGATAACAGATAGAAATACTCTAAACGATGTCTAGACTAGACTACAGACTATACTGTATATTATACTGTAGACTAGACTATAGACTAGACTATAGACTGGACTATAGACTAGACTTTAGACTAGACTATAAACTAGACTATAGACTAGACTATAGACTAGACCATAGACTAGACTACAGACTGGACTATAGACTAGACTATAGACTAGACTATAAACTAGACTATATACTGGACTATAGACTAGACTATAGACTAGACTATAGACTAGACTATAGACTAGACTATAGACTAGATTATAGACTAGACTATAGACTAGACTATTGACTAGACTATAGACTAGACTATAGACTAGACTATAGACTAGACTATAGACTAGACTATAGACTAGACTATAGACTAGACTATAGACTAGACTATAGACTTGACTATAGACTAGACTATAGACTAGACTATAGACTAGACCATAGACTAGACTATATACTATACCATAAACTAGACTAAAGACTAGACTATAGACTAGACTATATACTAGACTAGACTATTGACTAGACTATATACTAGACTAGACTATAAACTAGACTACAGACTAGACTACAGACTAGACTATAGACTACACTGAAGACTAGACTATAGACCAGACTATAGACTAGACTACAGACTAGACTATAGACTAGACTATAGACTAGACTATAGACTAGACTATAGACCAGACTATAGACCAGACTATAGACTAGACTATAGGCTCGACTATAGACTAGACTATAGACTAGACTATACACTAGACTATACACTAGACTATAGACTAAACTATATACTAGACTATAGGCTAGACTATAGACTAGACTATAGACTAGACTATAGACTCAACTACAGACTAGACTATAGACTAGACTATAGACTAGACTATAGACTAGACTATAGACTAGACTATAGACTAGACTATAGACTAGACTATAGACTCAACTACAGACTAGACTATAGACTAGACTATAGACTAGACTACAGACTAGACTATAGACTAGACTATAGACTAGACTATAGACTAGACTATAGACTAGACTATAAACTAGACTATGGACTAGACTATAGACTAGACTATAGACTAGACTATAGACTAGACTATAGACTAGACTATATACTAGACTATAGACTAGACTATAGACTAGACTATAGACTAGACTATAGACTAGACTATAGACTAGACTATAGACTAGACTATAGACTAGACTATAGACTAGACTATAGACTAGACTATAGACTAGACTATAGACTAGACTATAGACTAGACTATAGACTAGACTAGACTATAGACTAGACTATAGACTAGACTATAGACTAGACTATAGACTAGACTATAGACTAGACTATAGACTAGACTATAGACTAGACTATAGACTAGACTATAGACTAGACTATAGACTAGACTATAGACTAGACTATAGACTAGACTATAGACTAGACTATAGACTAGACTATAGACTAGACTATAGACTAGACTATAGACTAGACTATAGACTAGACTATAGACTAGACTATAGACTAGACTATAGACTAGACTATAGACTAGACTATAGACTAGACTATAGACTAGACTATAGACTAGACTATAGACTAGACTATAGACTAGACTATAGACTAGACTATAGACTAGACTATAGACTAGACTATAGACTAGACTATAGACTAGACTATAGACTAGACTATAGACTAGACTATAGACTAGACTATAGACTAGACTATAGACTAGACTATAGACTAGACTATAGACTAGACTATAGACTAGACTATAGACTAGACTAGACTATAGACTAGACTAGACTAGACTATAGACTAGACTATAGACTAGACTATAGACTAGACTATAGACTAGACTATAGACTAGACTATAGACTAGACTATAGACTGGACTATAGACTAGACTATAGACTAGATTATAGACTAGACTATAGACTAGACTATAAACTAGACTATCGACTAGAATATAGACTAGAATATAGACTAGACTATAGACTGAACTATAGACTAGACTATAGACTGAACTATAGACTAGACTATAGACCAGACTGCTAGATCTATATTATTCATCTCATCATGATATTGTTGAAAATTGTATCGCTACTACTTGAGTGCAACTTTATCCCAAAACTGTAATTCCTCGGTGATAAACAAACAACTAAATCAGAATGACCTTAATATATTCTAGGTTTCTAAAAATAATAACATTTTATCATATACTTAGTAACTAATTCCAAAATCACAAAAGTCACTCAATAAAGATACCCCAAAAAAAACTAAACTAAAAATCAACATCTCTCGTTTTCAACCAAACAGTCATAACTCAAAATTCAGATGTTTCAAAATCTAATTTTATTACCCCAAAATATTCTAATAGAGAGAAATGTTTGTCATTTCCTTTGTAATTTCTCCAATTTTCTGAATCCCAATACATAGCCAAGTCCATTACACTCTTTCCTATGGATCGGGGTCAATATCTTAAAACATTCTGTCAGTCATGTTGGCTATTTAAGATCAGTAAAATCAGTCTATAAATAGAAAATTTTTTCCAGAATTTTTAATATTATATATGTGCAAAAGTAATATCAGATTAGATTAGAAATTGGTTCAATTAATATGGGTTTCTGGGCCTGTAATTCATATCTCACTCATTTGCAGAATTTGGATTTTTTTGGAAAATTAAAAACAAGTGTAATGACACTGTAATGGCAAATAAACGATATTATTATCTATTTACATGTGTACATAATTTGTTTACATGAATAAATATTTAAGGTCATAAAATCATTCACAACTCATGGATATTTTCCATAAAACATCGATCAAACATAAAAATCCTTTTTATTGCCTAGTTACCAATTTCTGTTTGATGAAATGCAACAAAATTAACTAAAACTATTTATGCATCTAAACAACCCGAAAAAATGCCTATGGAAAATTACAATAACTTGAACACGTACATAGTAGTGAAATTCAAACTAATACAGAACGTCGGAAACGGAAAGTATTCAACTGAAGTAAAGGATTACACGTGCTACAACGACATCTACAAATACTTTTACTTAACACGAAATATATTTAATGTTTAATAAGAAGAGCATCATAAATAAATATTGATTGATTTGTTTGTTTATTTAAATGCAAAAATTTATTGGCAAAAAACAAAATAGAAAATAGAACATCACATAACAAAATCGTAAATATATATCTAAAACAAATAAAAACGAAGAATCGAACTCTTGACATACAAACAAATAGTAAAACAATTGGAATTATTTAAAATAGTACAAATATTTAATGGCAATAACAATACTATTGGTGAATGTTACCGAAAACTTGAAAAAGTTAAATTTTAATACAATTAGACCGACAGGCGACAAGCGTCAATAAAATAAATTTATAAATTTAAATAAAGCTTTAAGCTGTGGTCGAGAGTAAAGTGAAATTTAGCCTTTTTACCACATTTAGTCTAGACGAATACCCTCCCGAGAGAACTACGTACTTATATTGAAGATCTTTTTAAAGCAGTGTCAGTGTCTGGGTTATATATCGGAATGATAGTCTTGAATATTTTAATACGATCTATAGGTTGGAGAAGTTCTATTGGAAATATTGTTGGTATAATTGCTATCTTTTATAAAGAGCTTTATCAAAGTTCGTTTGATACCTAGTACAAGTTTTTTTCATAGCTTCCGAAAAATCTAAGATTGAGATTTCAATCATAAGAAGATGACGTAAATGGGAAACTTTCGAATGACAGTAACTAAACTCCATCTGCAGACAACACGACATCAAGACCGATTGATGAATGTTGAATGTGCTTTAACGAAATGAAGAATCAAACGAATCTGAAAACATTACTCTGACACTTTTGGTACAAAAATATACAGCAGGGTTCTCTATATTTGCTTGATATAAGAACTTTATTTGAGATTTTACGATGAAAGTAAGTTGTTGAGTGACGGATTGAAATTTGATCTTTTAAGGGAAATTAAAAAGAACCAATCATGGACCTAGAATCGACTAAGGTAATCTTAATGATCTAGGTTAAATTTGCAAGCTTATTTCTTTTTTAAGGATCTACTTATAAATGTAGTCGAGCGGATATAGTCATAGTCGAGTTTTCAATCATGTAGAGGAGTAAACGTGACCTCCATTGGTCTGCTGGTGATTTTAACCAATAAAGCACTGTATTGGTTCAGCAGTTTAATAGACACATTTGTCCAACATTCTTCTTAGAATCATTTCTGCAGATCAGCACCTCGTTTAACCCAGAAGGGTTCGAAGTCTATGTTTATAAAAGGTCTAGAGGAGTAAACTTTCTCTTAAAAATGTCCATTGGTTTGCTGGTAATTTTAACCTATAAAACACTGTATTGATTCGGCAGTTTGAAAGACACATTTGTCCATCATTCTTCTTAGGATCATTTCTGTAAAACAGCGCCTCGTTTGACGCAGAAGGGCTCGAAGTCTATGTTTATAAATGGTCTAGATTATTTCTTATTACTACTACTTACTAGAACTTCTTCATTGAAAGGGACCTCGATGCTCTAGTCCCTTGATAGGATAGACCTCTTTTAGGAGTTGCCTTCAACATTAATCGAATCATACTTCTTAGTAGTAACGATGGTTCTCTCGGCGATTACAGGAAACAAACTTCGACTTCCCATATGTGGTCTCCGTTGGTGTAAGAATAAAATCTATTTTGACAGTATTTGTTATTGGAAACTCCTTCCAATTTAGAAAATATAATGCACCAAATGATCTTCAAATGTTCTCCTTATATTGCGAGCTTTCTTTACAACCTAATCTGAAGTTATCTGAAAGCCTTAATTACGAATTTCGCTTGTAGTCTGTCGCTCTAATTACAATGTACATTAATTTTGCAAATTTTATGTCTGTTACAAAGTATCAACACGCAGTTACAATTTCAATATAGTTTAAAAAATTCTAGACATGGAAAATGTTCAACATGAAACTGAACAAGAATCAGACGAAGATTGTGAAGTGTATTGTAAGTATGATAAATAATTACTCCCAAAATCCTGTTCCAATAATGATGTTTTATTTTCAAAATATTTAGTTTTAAAACCCGTTAATGAATACAATATAGTGGATAAAATTAAAGAAGCTAATAAGGAGTTATTTGGCAATGAGCTTGTCGATGACAATGAACTAATGGCTGAAGCGCAACAAAATCGTAAAGTTAGTTTTGCAGCCAATTTAGAGGAATATGAACCACAAAATGGTATAAATCTAAGAGAGCTGGAAGACAAATTAGGCAAAGAACCGGAGGAAAATAATGAAGAAAATTTTCAAGAAATTGAAAAAGAACAGAAATTAGATGTTATAACTGAAGAAGAGGCAGTCAATGAAGTTGATGTTAATGAAGATTCCGAAGCTAATGAAAATTGCGAAACTAACACCCAAGACGAAAAAGAAGAAGAAGAAAAAGAAGAGCTTTCTACTATAGATATGAATGATAATGAATCTAATGACAATTTAGTTGAAGCTGAAGAGCGGCCAGAATCTCCAGCAAATTGTGAAAGTGTAGATGAAAATGTTATACTAGAAGAGATCTGTGAAGAAATACTTGTAATGGATATGGAAAATGAAAAGATCGAAGAAACAGTGACAACGAAATTTGACAGTCCCAGTGCCATGCAACGTAAAATGTTAAAACAAATTACATTCGATTATACCGAAGAAGATGATGAACCGGACAACAAAAGTCTAACTAATCTTTTAATATCCGACAATGAAAACGATCCGAATGAAAACGAAGCTGATAATGAGGATTATAATTGTAATGAATCTATAAATGAAGACACTGACAACGATGAAACAATTCCCTTAAACCATAACGAATACTATGAAGACGATGAGGAAGATGATAAATTGTCCATAATAGTAGCCTCCTACTTACCCGATGATATGGCCTGTGATAAAACCTCCTTAACCGCATCATCGCGCAAATGTTCACCACGTACTAACAAATCTCGTAAATTACCGTTCAATAAACGTTTTTCATTTCGACATAAAACTAAATCCTCAAATGCCATTGGCTCCTGTTCTAACCATCATTCCTCCAACAATCGCCGCTTTATGCCGCCACCCGAAGTAACGGATTTAAAGCTACACTACAAAACCTGTTGCGAATTTAAAAATGCCCAACAGAAATTACCCAATTATACGGGTTATCTTTCGGAATATGGTCTCTCAAAAGAGCAGTTAATTGAAAGAGATCGTAAATTACAGCAGAAACAACAAGGCAAAGAGGTCAATTCGTTGAGGTCAACGGAAGCAGATATGCGTAAAATGCACGATAATGAGAGAGCTTTTACCACATGGCTCAAAAATAAAATGCGCTTTCCCATAAATAAAACACGAAATATGTTCGATGTTAAAAGACCCTTTGGTCTTAGGAAATCTACAAGTGTGGGAGGTAATAATACTTTAAATGAGGACACCAAACAGATGTTAAATACCACAAAATATCGTAGTATTAGTGCTAAACTTAAAAGGGCATAAATCGCTAATATATATTTTTAATTTACTTAAATTTTTACGAGCTTATGTAATCCGCTAATAAAGAAAAAGTTAAACTTTGAAAAATTTAATTTCGAAATGGGGTGTGATGTATAATTTTATTTGATCAATGGGTGATGTATACGATGTAAGTTTCCGAATTTGTAGATCGGTATAGTAAATACCATTGCGAATTTTCTTTCAAAAATTTGTACTTCCATAGTAAGAGAAAGGACTGACAGCTTTGCGGGAATACCACTCTCCAGCTGCAAACGCCCTATTCGTAATAAACACCATGAGCATGCTCCAGATGATCAATCAAGGCGATATAAAACCCAATATCATCCTTATTAATTCTTCCGGGAGCTCAGCTACGAAACACTTTAGCATTGGTTACTGGCCTTTGGGCTTCGTCTTCCTAGAAACAGCTTTCTTAGAAGTTGTCATGACGAATAAGAAGAGAAAGCCTGGAGAAGAGAAACACTATAGCCAGCGAGTTTTTGCACGATTTAACTGATTTATCCGAGGTGAATAAACGATAGTTAAACTCCTTTATTCGTCCGCTGATTCTTTCTCTTCTCATAATGACATACGGAAAGTCTGGTAACCTAAGCCATACGTTCTGTTTCAATCATATTGTTGTGTATAAAAGTGATATCGGTACCTCTGGTTTCACTGGACCCTTAAAGTGGAAGAATTCCTTACTCTAGACTGACCAGAGTTGGGTTAAAACCCAAATCGCGGGAAGGATATTTCAGTTTATGTTCTGATGTATGGACTTGTAACATATTTTGGACTTCATATGTATATGAATACATAGGGTGCTACCTTAGTCGATAAATGCATCTTTGAGTCAACAAAGTTGATGACACTATTGATCAGTCTTCAGGGCGGAGTTTGACGATCACTTTAGAGAGAATGATTGATCTCTTATTAGACTGAAGTAATATGGGTGCTATCGGTGGAGAGTGGGTCTGTCTAGAGGCGATTTATGTTCGTATCTAGGTTCAACTCTGATGAATTCGTTAATGGATTTTTCTTTTATATGTTACTTATATCTAGGAATGTATCGATTTCAACAGAGTTCATGATTAGACTGATCGATGACTTGCTTTATGAAGGGAGTACAAAGATCTACAGTGGTGTTGAATCGTAATAATTGGTTGTTTTTAATGGAGCCAGAATTAATATAATTTACCTTAATAACTTGTGATGTTGCTCGAAGTTTCGATAAATATAAATTAAACAGATGTTGATAATCACCCCATTCTGCATTTCGATTACGTTCATGCATTTAGTTACGCAACGATCGAAAAAAGGTATTCGAACAAAAAATTGAATCGTAAGAAATTCAATTCCATTTCGTTTCAATTCTTTACGAATGTGTGTATTCTTACGATCGTACCTACGTTTATGTAAGTTGTTGTTTATGTGGCGGACAGTCGAATCAAAATACAGAATACCAAAGTTGCCAAACGGAGAAAATTGCGATTCAAATTGAAATGCAGAATAGGGGCCAATAACTTTTTGATATTTGAAGCATTTGTCTCCAAATTATTGCACTACTTTGATGTGATCCTCAGGAACTCCTTCCTCAACTCTTTTCAGAATTTCTTACTAAACTTCGTGAAATTTTCTCAAAATTTTCAAAGAAAAAATGCATTTTTCAAAAATGTTCTTTCTAATTTTCAAATTTTGCTAACATTTTCAATAGAAACAAGTAAGAAATTATAGTCGGGCGTGGCCGACCATATGATACCCTACACCAGTTATGAATATTAAATGTGATGTATTTTTCATAATAAAGCATTTATCTTCAATATTCCCTTGTTCCGATACATTTAAGCAATTTATGGATGAAAAACTAATTTTCTGAAAGAGGCTTTATATGGGGGCTAGGGGCAAATATGGACCAAGCCCGATAAAATTTTGTGAATATATTTATATTGACATAATATTTTGTTGTGCTGAATTTCATCGCGATATGTGTGTTTATAAGCTAATTTGGGACATTCAAGTAATTTTCTGAAGGGGACTTTGTATGGGAGCTAGGGTCAAATGTGGCCCGATCTTTATGAAATTTGGCAGGGTCATCAAAACTTCTATAAAACTTAGTTGTGCGGTATTTTATCGATATATCTGTATATTTAACATAATTATGAGCTCAGAAGCCCTTTTCGGTGGGTTCTGTTGTATGGGGGATAGGTGAAATAATGGACCGATTTTAACCATTTTCAATAGGCTTCGTCTTTAGGTCAAATAAAATGTGCGTGCCAAATTTCATCCAATTATCTTGAAAATTGTGACCTGTACCTTGCGCACAAGGTTTACATGGACAGCCAGCCAGCCAGACGGACGGACGGACGGACATAGCTTAATCGACTCAGAAAACGATTCTAAGCCGATTGGTATACTTTAAGGTGGATCTAGGACGAATATTTTTGTATGTTACAAACATCAGCACAAATCCAAAATACCCTCCCCACTAAAGTGGTGTAGGGTATAAATATTCGAAAATTTTCTATAGAATGAGAAATTTTGCGAAAATTTTCTATAGAAAGTGAAATTTTTCCATTGCTGATGAAAAAATAGATCAAAAATTTTCAATTATAGAAATTAAACAATTTATCATGAATTTTTTTTAAATAATTATTCTCTTTTTTATTGTATATGATTTTTGTTCTTTTGTAATCAATAAAATTTTCTTAGAAAAAATGAAGAGTTAGTCTTAAGGATGACAGCAGATGAAAGAGAGAATATTAATAGAAAAATATAATCAATTAACAAAGAATTAAAAATGCCTTATTTATTACTTTTTTTTTTAACAAGAAACAAAACTTTTTTCGAAAAAAATAATCATATATTCAAAGAAAAAACTTAAAAGACCATAAATATATGTTGTATATTTAAACAAAATTATGATGAAAAAAAATTAAATCGTATAGAAAATTTACACAAAACTTAAAAAGTTTATTTTAATTCTTTTAAAACAGACAGAATTATAGATATTTTAAAAAGTAAACAGTGAAAGTAGGGGGGGAGGAGGAAGGCGAACGAATAATAATAAAAAAGTTTATTAGAAATGAGGGAATATTGTTTAATGACGGGATTTTTTCGATTTATGATGACCACCGTCTCGACTGTCATCCCTTGAACGTTTGTGACTACTGCTACTGTGGCTGCTGCTATGATGATGACGGCTCTTATCACGATCCTTATCCTTGTGCGAAGAGGAATGATGTTTATCACGACTACGATCGTGATGTTTATCCTTGTGAGAAGATTTTGCAGGGCTGTTATTTGGCGGGAAAAAAGAAATTCAATTGTTTAAATTTATAGGAATTATAAGAAAGTTTCCTCGAAAATATATGTGTGTTTGTAATTTGGATTTTTTTTTTGTGTTTGGCCAATAGTGTGTTTTGAGTGAGTAGACAGATTTAGTGATAATTCTTTAGATTTTTTTAAAAACATCAAAAATTACACAAACCTATTTGTTGAGGCGGAAGTTGAATTAGTGTGTTTTGAAGATTTCTTTAGGGTTGCATGTGCTGACGACGAAGAATGTGTTGAGGATTTATGTTTCTTGTGATTCTGTTCTTGAATCGCTCGATCTCTGCGACTTTTTTAAGACAAATACAACAAGTAATAACATTTACAATTTAGCTCAATTATATAAATAATAGTAAAAAGATTTTGAAAATCGAAAAAACATTAATATGAAATCAAAATAAAGAATATGAAAGAGAAATTTTGTTTAAATTTCTATTTCAATTTTTCCCTGAAGTAATAAATTCTACTAGTGGCGACTCATGAATTAGATTTCATCAGCATTTAATTTTAAATAATTAAATTTCCCAATAATTGTTAAACAAATAATATCAGAATTAAACGAAAACAAAAACCAAATGCAACACAATAATAAAAAAAATTAAAATAAATTTAATTAAAAATTAAACACTCACCTATGTTTCGAACTTTTAGAATGTTTAGAATGATGTTTGCCATTTGATTTAGGATCAGAGCCGCTGTATTCATGATTACGATCTTCTTCGGCAGCCTCACGTTCCAAATCGGACCAATCTTTGCCAGATTCTTCATCAGAACCTAGTTCTGCAAAAATAAAACACAAAAAACAATTAGAAAACCAAACTATATCATATAAAAATTAAAACTTACCATCACTATCATCACCACTCTCATCTTCAGAGGCTTCTGAATATTCCGAATCTTCATCGGATTCAAAATCGGACTCCAAATCAGTGGGCTCATAAACTTCATCTTCTTCGGATTCAGCTTCTTCAGCTTCACCCTCACTGCCAGATTCGGGATCTAAGAAAGACCAACCGCCCTGCTCGAAAAAGCCTTCCGGATCATCGACAATGGTTTTCATAATCTTGGCCCAATTCAGGGACTGTATACCCTCGGTATAACGTATATCGCAAGAGCTTTAATTAAACAAATTAGTTTATTAATATTTTTCCACTTTTTTATAAAATTAAAAAAAAACTCACTTCAACCATTCCTTAACATGATCCAACAGATTCATGGGTATAGCATTAACCATGGCCACTTTACGATTATAATCTTTGAAAACAAAAATCATATCAAAATTTCTCAAATGGAATTGTACACGTTCAAAATGCACCAATTCCACATCATCCAAAGTGATAACAAATGGTGGCCATTCAGTGAGATTAACCAAACTGCCAGAGGTGGGTTGTAGAGTAACCGTACTGCGGAAGGGGGCACCTGGGAAACCCAATTCACGGAATGGTGTATCGAATTCTACCTGTTGTTTAGTCATCGATTCAACTTTTTCGCAAAAACTCTTAAATGCTGTTTTCAATTTGTGCCTCAATTCACGTTCTGCCTGTTCAGCGGCCAAATCATCACGATCGTGCATATGTTGATGTTTACCCAAATCGGTGGTAATTTCACCCACTTCTGTATAAAACTGTACATCGACATGTTTCTTCTTGCCAAACATAATGGCATGTTTTAAATGAAAATGTAACAAAATAATCATTTCGTTGTCACACGGTTGAAAGAAGGCGCTTTTGATGTTGTTGTATAGAATATCAACCTTATCACCGCGCACCGATATGTAACGGAAACCATTGGTATGGGCTTCCAAACTGCCGGTCATACGTTTAGTGACAATATTTGGACGTATATACAAATCCTTGAGTTTAGGATTACCTTTGTTTTGTGATAGTATTAAAGTGTCCTGTTTAACAAGATCCTCTTTTTCACGTTCCTCAGCTTCGCGTGTTTTGAAACGTTTCTGTACATCTTTGATGAGACGGAAAGCGTTGTTAAGATTTGATGAAGGAGCCACTGCCTCGCCATGATCTTTAACATTAGAACTGCGATAAGTGCTGTAAATTTTAAAGGGAATAAAATAATATAGATTTAGGTTTTCTTCTTTAATAAAACAAGCAATATTCACTCAAACTCCCTTTGTTTAGGAGAATTTTAGAAAATTTCTGTTTTTATAGGAATTTTGAAAAACTTCATTCTTCTATAGAAATTCTTCGAAAATCTCCATTGTTTAAAGAAAATTTATGAAAAATTTTCTTTTTATATAAAATTTAAATAAATTTGTTTCTTTTATATAATTATAAAATTTTTAGAACTTACACTTCCTTAACAAAAGTAGCTTCTGGATTGGGATAAATTCCACCCTCATTACGACCCATGGTGGCACCGGGATGAAAGAAATTAATACGTAGATATGTGTATTCACCCTCCACAGATTGTGATATATTTTTAATGGTGGAGATGTGAAAGGGTACGGGTATACCAAAGATGGGCATTATAACAGTCTCGTATTTTTTGTCTACATATAATTTCAAATCCTTTACCTCGGGTTCACGTGGCATTTGGCTCATTGACTTATAGGAGGCAGTATTTTTGCGTACTTTTTCCACTTCTTTTGAATCGCCCTGTTTGGATAAACGTTCCTTGGCCTTTTCATTGAGCAGTTGAGCCAATTCTTTTTGATGTTGTTTGCGTTTTTCCTCTGTATTCGTTTCGGTACGTAATTTATTTTCCAAAACAGCATTACGTTTGCTTCTACCCAAAATTTCGGTGCCTTTATCCTCCTTTACTTCCTCCTTTTCATCGCCATCTTCTTCTTCGCTGTCATCTTTTATGAAAATACCAATATTTTTGATTTTCTTCTTAGAAGGAGTCATAATACTGGCTGGCGCTTGATCACCCACCAACACTGTATCACCTATGAATAAAGCATAGGTTTTTGCCTCCTTTTCGCTGGCTTCTGTATTAGTAAGATTGGATATACCAATATTGACATTGAAAACCATATTCTTTTTAACTTCGGCCTGACATTTGGGACCTATAATAATGGAATTCTCGCGGAATTCTATGCCCATAGCAAAACCAAAATTTTTCGTTACACTATCCAATAGTTTGGGTTTCTCTTTCTTTACATAATCTGCCGCATGCTGGTAGATCTCACTTAACTTTGCACCTGGCTTAAGCATTTTCAATATCTCCTCTTGCACATTAACCAAGAAATTATAATTTTCTTGCATTTCTTCGGTGGGATTAACCAAAAATGTACGTGAAATATTTGAACAATAGGATTTGTAACGGGCACCCAACGAACATACGATGGCGCCAAAATGTAAATGATTTTTATCACTTAAGGCGGAAAATTTTAAACTATAAGCTCCTCCTGACTGTATAATAGGGGGATAACACATTTCCAACAGTGAAGAGTCCACGCCAGTTACATATTTTTTATCTGTTAAGGCTGATTCTACACCTTCTGAAAGCTTGGCATGTTTAACTTTCTAATAGAGACAAAAAGTAAAAGATTTAAATAGAAATTTGGTATCAAATTGAAAAATCTTTAACAAACCTTGTCTGAATCTATAATATCCATAATTTGATCCTTTAGATATTTGTTAAAAAGATCCACAGATACCAAAGAGGCCTTGCGTATGTTATTAATTTCTGGCTCATCTTTGGGACACATTATGTATGCTATGGCTCCACTTATATCGATATTTTCAAATGATTCCGATTTCAAAGACGATTTCCAAGATTCACAGAACTCTCCCGGAAATCCATCTTTACTAAAAACACCCAATTTCTTGCCACCCTTGGATGATTTAATAATTTCCTTGAGTTTAACAAAATTGGCTTTATCCTTATCATTCTGTTGAAAAGTGTTATGTTAGCTGAAGATTTTCTTTACATTTCGTTTTATATATAACTTACTCTGTCTCTGGTTAACAGTTTAATCTCTGGCACACCTTCTATTTTACAATTTTCAATTTGTTTAAGAAATTCGATTTTCTTTTTGCCGGTTAGAAAATAAATACCATCAGCTGCAAATAGTGATATTGTATCGGTAAGTTCATAGCCTAAAAGCCAAGTTTGTAATGCTGTGGATTTTGAATATACAATATCTTCATCCACACCCACCACTGACATAATACAGTCCACGTTTTTAAGGGCATCATCGTGGCTTATGGTAGGTGTCTGTTAAAAAGGAAAATAGAAGTAATTAAAAGTTTAGCGAGAAACTTAAGATGCGTCGATATACTAAATGAAATGGGAATACTCCTTCCCAGAAGTTAACTGATTAAGAAATTACAGAAAATTTTCAAAAATTATCTTCTTCACATTTTGTAGAACATTTTCGAAAACCAATTTAAGAAAATTTTAATTTTTAATTCAAAATTTTTAATTTTGGTAAAATTTTTGTAAAATTCTATTTTTTTTGAAATTTCCCAATTTTTTTTTTTTTTTTTTTTTTTGTCGAAAAATTCGATTTTTTTTGGATAAATGTTAAAAAAAAACTTTTTTTAGAAAAAATTCGAAAATTTTTTTTATTTTCGAATAAATCTCTATTTCTGGAAAATTAAAAAAAATCAGTTTTTCAAAATTTTTCGAAACATTTTTTTAGAAAATTGTATTATTTTTTTGAAAAATTTCGAAAAAAAAAACTTTCTTAATATTTATTCTCCGGCAATTGTTTAATAATAAACTTTTAACTAAAATAAGATTGAGTCACTAGTAGAGTATTTATATTTTAGTTAAAATTATAAAAAATCTTTTAAAGTTTCAATGGTGACGACAATTTTTATACATTAATCCCCAGAATTAAATAACTTGAAGTTTATAATTCTCTGTATAACTGTGCTAAATAATTTTGCGACAAAATTGTTCAGCATCATTTGATTTTACACAAATTGTATGAAAATTCACACACACTCATACACAAACATTCCAATGCCGTCCGTCAATGGGATGTAAAAAATGGGCCTAACATTTTTCTGACCAACTTTAGGAATTTCACAATTTTATCAACAATTTTCTGAAAATTTGTTTAATAAATTTATAGATAAAATATAAAACTTACATTCCATTCGTCATACAGACGTTTTATTCGTCGCAAAAATGTCTCTTTATCCAGCACAATGTTCGACATGTTGTTGCTTGTTGTTCAGCTTCTTTTTAATTCCTCCTTTCTTTTTTAAAATTCACAATTATCACTGCACTTTTTGCAAAATTCAAATTTTTAGCAAATTAAGAAAATTCCAGATTTTCTTAAAAGTTTTGCCGGAAAAAAGGCTTAAAGCCGATATTCAATTCAAAATTATTATCCACTAAAAAGTTCTTTTGTAGACAATTATTTTCACAAATTTTTTTGTACGCTGCCTGATGCACAAAGACACAAAGAGAAACACGCAGAAAATACGAATGACAGTAATAGCGTGTTCAAAACGTTGAAATGGCAACGTTGTATAAAAATGGTATGGAAATTAATAAATTGACAATTTTTGCTGTTTTGTTAGAAATTTTAATAGAATAGTTATTTTATGTTATAGATTTTTTGGGTTTTCATTATTTTTCAAGTTAACCGGCGTTTATTTTATTGTGTTACTATTATTAAAACTAAATTAAGACTGCCTAGTATTTGTACTTAGGTAACACTTTTTAGTTTTAAAACAAATATGGCGCACATGCCGCATATTTTTGCACAAGAAATCCCGCCAAAACAAAAACAGAGAAAGATTAAAACAAAAGGTAAGCGAAAAATTAACAACAAAATATATTTTTATGTCAAAACTAACAGGGTGTTTAAGAATTCCGTTTTATTTTGAAATCTTAATTATTGTGGAAATATAAATGACCCAGCAAACTATTTGGATTTATATTAGAGAATTTTAAAAACGCATAGTTCATAACTTTGGTTTTAGATAAATAATAATAAAATTAAACAAATGTTCTTTGGATTTTTAAAAATTTTCAAGAAATTTACTTTTTTTTAGAAAATTTTCTAATAAATCTCGTTTTTTAAATTTTTATTTTAGAAAATTCTCCAAAAATTTGTGTTTTTAAAAAATTCTCTATTTATAAAATATCTCTTTTCTATATAAAAATTTTAAAAAATATCTCCTTATATAAAATACATATTTTCAAAATTTTCTTTTCTTTATACATAGAACATTTTCAAACAATTTCTCTTTTTATAGAATATTATCGAAAAATTTACCTTTTTAATTTACACATATTCAAAAATTTAAATTTCTCTTATAAAAATTTTATAAATTCCCATTTATACAATTTTTTCAGAAAATTTCTTGTATTTTTCAGAAAATTTTATAAAATTGTATCTTTTTATAGAACATTTTCAAATAATAAGCCTATTTTTTTAGCAGAATGTAGAAATTTTTTTTTCGCTTATGAAAATATATTTATTTTATATCACCCTGTATTTTGAAGTTTCATCTACTACCCAAAAATACACCTCTGCCAAAGAGACGGCCAAAATATTTTTCATTTATTCTCGCTCTCCACTTATTCGCCCCATAATTTTTTTATTATTTTCTTGGACCACGAAGTCTCTGATAGATTTGAGGAATTTTTGCAAAAATCAAAATAAACATTTTCCCCCATAATTTATAGACAAAAGACAACAGCAACAAAAATATTGATTAATTGTAGCAATTAAATTGCAACAAATAAATTTGTATTCGTCAGCGAAAATAGAAAAGAAAGATATTTGAGTAAAATGTCCTCAAGAGTTCTTAAGAAATTGCAAGGTGGTGATTTGGAATTACAAGATAATGAAGAAGACGATGAGCAGCCAAGTGAGGACGAGGAAGTAGAAACTCAACGGGCCAAGAAGAATAACTTTTTTGATTTGGTAAGTTTCCACTACACATGAAAACTAAATGAAATAATATTGTGGTCTTAACGTGTAGGTGGTTGATTGGTTGTTTGTATGGCTAGCTGTTAAAGATTCAGCCTGTAATTCCGATTAGTTTTTTCATGTTTGCTTTTTCTTTATATTATAGAGAAAAACTTAGTTATGAAACTAGGTTAGTCAAACATCCAGCCATATGTCTGTTTCTAGTATATTGATAAATTTTGTAATTTTCTTTTTCTTTACTTTGACCTACAGCTGAATCAACAGAGTCTTTCCGAAAGTGAAGTTAAAGAAGATGATAATGAAACTGAACATGCCTCAGCGGCTAATAATTTGCCTGCTGGACCCTCCGCATCTAAGAAGAAAAAGAAGAAGCGTAAGAAGAAGTCCAAGCATACGGGAAATCATATAAGTAGTGAAGATAATGAGGTGAGTTGAGATTTTCCTTTGTATTCTTTTATCTAATGATATGGAAATAATTTGACTTAGAATTGGTTTATTAAAAAATCAACTAAATATAAGGAAAATATAATTTATATTAGTATCATTATGTATGTAGGACCAATTATTATAATTCCATCTATCTATTTTCAGCTCACCGATAAATACATCAGTGATATTGATCCTCTACTTAACAAGGTGTGTGATGCAGCCACACAAGATCCCAAATTGGCCATACCACGTATAGAAATCGATAAGTCGTTGTTTGCCGTAGAGTTAAAAAATCTTAATCCACAAAATGAAATGCGTCGTACGTTCGGCAAAAGAGTGGTAAAAATTGAGTAAGTTTTGGAAATTTAAATTAAACACAAATATGTAATCAACCATATATTAAACTATAGAAATAAACGTGGCCGGCAAAAGTTGACTCTAAAATCAACATACATGGTAACGGCTAAAGAATCATGGCCACCAGTAACCAAAAATATCATTACAATGAAACCAATGCCATCACCAGATAATGCGGGCACAAGTCAATCCACTATCGGTGGTATTGATAAAATACATTGGTTTGCTTTCGAACACAGTCAATACTATCAAAGTGTACAAAATCTATTTTTGTCGGCTTTAGAAAGAACCGATTCAGATTTTTTGATAAATCTTATAAGAAGATGTCCCTATCATGTGGATTCTCTTATACAATTAAGTGAATTATGTAAGTTTTGGAATGAATATCTAGGAATATTGTAATAAATAATATTATAATTGAATTTTGTTTAGGTAAAATGACCGAAGATTTCTCTTTGGCCAGTGAACTAATAGAACGGGCTGTTTTGGTTTTAGAATCATCTCTACACCCCAGTTTCAGCTTAACCAATGGTAATTGTCGTTTGGACTACAAACGCCAGGAGAATCGTTCTATGTTTGTGGTGTTATTTAAGCATGCTCAATATTTAGAGGCTCGTGCCTGTTGTCGTACAGCATTTGAGATTTCTAAATTGATATTAAGTCTAAATCCCGATGTTGATCCATTAGCCATGGTATTGATAGTCGATTATTATGCTTTGCGTAGTAAACAGTATAATTGGTTGGTGAAATTCTATGAAGAGTACGATGTCATACGTAATTTATCACAGCTACCCAATATGGCATATTCATATGCTTTGGCTTTGTATTGTTTGCAAGGAGGTAAGTGAGATTTATAAGGAATGTTTAATAAAAAGATAATATGTAGTTTCTTTAAATATATTTAGAATGTGAAAAGGCCGATAATGCTTTACAATATGCTTTGCTCATGTTTCCGGGTGTTTTGAAACCTTTGTTAGATGAACTGTCTGTGCAAACAGATAAACGTGTCTTGGGATGTTCTTATTTCAATTCAGAAGTTTCGGGAAGGTAAGATCAAATTATTCTTATAGCTGTGAAATACTTAACAGATTAGATTATAAAGTAGTCTATAGACTAGCCTATAGACTACTTTATAAACTAGTCAATGGACTTATCTATTGATTAGTCTAAATTTTAATTTAAAATGAAATAAAATAAATTTATATTAAACATGTCATTTAAAACTTTCATTTGAGCAGTCAATCTCCAGCTCTTCATCAATTGGTATGTCTTTACATTTGCCGAGCCAAGGTGGTATGGCGTCAAAACAACTTATTACCCTGGTTAGAGCGCAATGTTAATACTGCCCTAGATCGCATTGATAGCAAGGATGAAGTTATACAGGAGTATAGTCAAAAAAGAGCGGCCCGTTATGTGCAACCACCAAGGCCCATATTAAGACATGTTATACTCTCCGATTACAAAGAGAAAGTACCACTGGCACCATTTGTAGCCAAAGAAAAAGAAGCCATTATGATGTATGATCCCTTACCGCCAGTCGATTCAGTAAATTGTTATGAAAGGTAAACTGAAAACAGTATTTGAAATAACATTATTTCGGAGTGTTCATAATGTTTTTACAATCTTATAGGAAGTCCTCCTCCTCAAGTAGTCCTACTACCGCCAACAATCCTGTTTCAATGTTTTTACGTTCTCTTTTGCCCTCATTTAACCTTAATAACCCAGGAGGCGCTAATCCGGCCAATGCAGATCAACAACAGCAGGAAAATGTAGTAGCTAATGTTGAACAGGCGGCTGCACGAGTTGCTCAGGCTGGTGGAGGCAATCGAGTAAACGATGAAGTGGCCGAAGTGGATCGTCATTTACAAGCTCTTAATATGAATTTGGAAAATGCTGCTGTAGAGGGTAAGTCTTATAAAATATTTGCTATATTATTTATTATTAAATGAATTATCATTTATTTTAGGTGCTGCTGAAGGCACAGAGGCTGGTGCTTCATATCGTGAGTTGACACAGTCTCTTACCAATATTGTCGATGCTATGCGCGATTTTTTGCAAGATTTCCGCTTGGCTTCTCAAACCCCACTACCACCGGAAAATGAAGAATTCGATACGACCGATGAAGATACAAGTGATTATTTTGGTTAAAAAAATAACAACAAAAAAGATCTTTAATAAAAAACAAAACTAATTCAAGGATATTTTTCGCCCTAAACACAAATTTTTACAAGATAAGTAAAGGCTTTATATAAATATATATGTGTATCTTTAAAACACTTTAAATAAAATCTTTAAAAAAGATTATTACAAAGAAAGGTGTTAACCTAAGCCCGTACACCCAAAATTTTTATAAAAACAAAAAGCATCCAATTTTTGCAACTGATGAACACTTAATATTTAGAACAAATTGAAACAACACCTGCAACAAATCTAAAATAAAATTCCCACTACAAATTTAATCTATTTTTTTTTTTTTTTAATTAAAATAAAATTGATAAAATATAAAATAAAAATTTTCACTGAAAATCAAAATATTTATAACAAAAGTTTAAACTATTTTCCACTAAAAAAAAATTGTTAATGAATGAAATGTTAATTAATATACAATATTTTTCTTCTAAATGTAGAGCATTATTTTATTTAAATTATTGAAAGTAAAAGTCATATTTTTTATTTTTAAATAAAAATTCAATATTTATGAAAACATGATAAAATTCACGTATAAGTATATTTGGTGTGGTTATTTAAAAAAAAACTAATAAAAACAAACGTACATATTTATTACGCTTAAAATAAAGTATGTTTCATTTTAAATAAATAAAAGTATTATATTTGGCTGTGCCGATATACACTTCACCATAGAGTAATTTATTACAAAAACAGTACCAGTTGGAAAACGAAAAGGTACCAGAAAATCCCCTTTTATAGATTTTCATTCAACCAGGACGCTGCGTATTTATTACTAGGTTTAATATTTAAAAGTAGTCAAAAAGTACCATCAATCAATCAGGATCCTATATTTATGATTCAAGGTGCAATAATTTAGAAATTATGCTGCGTGTTAAGTCATCAGGATATAAAGGTCTGGTTTCTAGGTTCAATATTGCATGAAAACCAAGAAGTACCAGTCGAAAAACAAAAAAGTACCAAAAAATACTATCCTACAGATTTTTGTTCACTCAGGACTCTGAATGTTAAATTTTATGTTTCTATGTTTAATATTATAAAAATTTCAAAAAGTACCTTTTGAAGAACGAAAAAGTACCAAAAAGTCCACTTTTATAAGTTCTTATTTATTCCTGGCTCTACATGCTTAATTTCATGTTTTTAGGTTCAATATTATATACAACTCAAAAAGTACCAGTTAAAGAACGAAAAAGTACCAAAAAGTTCCCTTTTATAAGTTCTCATTTACTCCGGGCTTAACATTCTTAATTTCATGTTTCTTAGACCTGGTCCACTAGGAAACTTTTATTGAGAAACTTTTTCTTAATTCTCTTTTGAAGTTTCCTTAATGTCCACACATAGAAACTTTTGTTTCAGAAACTACGTATTAATTGCATTGATTGTTGTTGTAGAATAACGAAACAAAACAAGTTTCCGAGTACGAGAAACTCCGTACCGCGAGAGAGATGAATGATATTCTTTCTCTCTCACGCAAAATCAAAAGTTTCCCAAAAAAAGTTTCCTAGTGTGGACCGGCAGTTAGTTCAATATTATAGAAAGACTCAAAAAGTACCAGTTAAATAACGAAAAAGTACCAAAGAATATTTCTTAGTACCAGAGTTACAAATAACACCCCTTTAGTGTTCCAACGACAATTGGATCTTCGTTTGGCCAAATCGGCCAAAGATTGTCAACTCAGCAACAACTGTATCAACCGGAAGTTTTTCCCCAGGGAAAAACGTCCAGTCACAACCAATCTGTTACAACACCCCATTAGCATAATTTATTTTGCCCACACGATTTTCCATCTCTGATTTTGGCATTAACAAAACATGAACAACACACAACTTTAAACGTACGTAACTTGTTGATCTTGCTCCGTTTTGTTTTTATAAACAAGCAAACTAAGTACAAGAACAACATTTACTATGTGAAACTGTATGTTGTTGTTGTTATTTCTTTTTGTCTAAGCATGCACAGAGGTTGTCCCGGATTTTTGCTCATATCTCCGTTATTTACCGGCCGATTTTGCTGATTTTAAATAGGAAACTTAGCGAAAGCATGTCTGACAGAATTGTTGAAGATTTTAGGTCCCGTGGATATTTGGGGTCTTCAGAAAGTTGATTACAGTTCGCCCTTTATAAGCTGCAAGTTAGGAACCACGCGTCATTTCGATGTTTTTAAGATCAAAATCTTAAGTTTTTTTACATTGATCATTTTGCAAAAATTTGCAAATACATAGTTCTATTTCGTATGTTAAATTTCCCGAATTTAGGAAAAGAATTCCTTTTAATCGTGTTAGAAATTCAACCCCCTGTGTTTTAATGGATCTTATATTTCAAAATATGTATGATGCTGTTTCGATTGGTAAGTAATGATGAAAAAAAAAAAAAAAACAACACAACTTTTTAATAATGATTTCCAATAATTTCTCCAACAGATTAAATCTGTCGATATTTTTATTTTTCTTTTTTTTAATATATTTTTAAACATGAATTTTGTTTTTGCTTAGGATTTAAAAAACGTTTTTATTATTGAAATTATATACGGGAGGAAAACTTTCTTTTGTTTTTATAAAATTGTATTTTTCTTTTGGCCGAATTAAATGTTTCATTAATAATTAAGAAAAAACAAAAATACTTATAAACAGACTGAGGGAAATGCATTTGTATAAATTATGAAAATTGTCTAGACAAAAGACAAAACTGCTTAGTTTAGAATATATAAAAAAAATATTGGTTTATAAAAGAAGTTTACTTAGAAGATATACAAAAAAAGTAAAGGAAAATAAAAGTAAACAAAAAGAAACAAACTTGTTGTGTTACAATACCAAATGTTATAATAAACAGTTTTAAAAAGCAGGAAAATCTGTTATTAATGTTATAAAAACCAATTCACAGTAAAATAAATAATATTAGATGTGTGTGTAAAATGTGATTATGTCATGGTACCAAAGACAGGATTGTGACGACAAATACCAGGTCCATATTCTTCGTAAGCAGCTTTTGTATGACAAACCTGATAGAATTCAGGCTATAAAGAGAAATTTAGTTAAATAAAATTAAATAAAATACTTTTGTAAAGGAATTATGGAAATACTAACCGTTGAAGCTAACATACTGCCACCAAACCAAACAGCATAACGTTGCATATGATGGGTAATAACTTGAACATCAATGGGTTTTGGCTACAAAGAAATTGATAGTTTAGAAAGAGTTCATTTTTGAGTTAGAATCAATGTTAAATTACCTTAATTCTACCCTCCGATAGATTTTCACTAATACGCAAACGTGTATCAACCGAACGTTTGATATCACGCTGCAAGCGACGTCCAAAATCTTTAAACATTGTCGAGCCACCACTTAAAACAATATTATTGTACAATGGTCGTCTCACATCAATGGGACAATTTTGTATGACATTATCAACAATCTCCGACAAAGGTATAGTAAAATCAGGATTCGAAAATTCCGGATGGAAGAATATTTCTGGACCCAAGAAACGTTCGTAACCAACATCAACGGTGAATGGTGATTTTGTGACCGAATTAATGCCCGTATAGTTACGTATCCATTTGCCCGGCTCCGTATCATATTTAGCAAATTCTTTGGCAATGTCGGGGCAAATGTAGCAGTGTTTCTCTTTAATAGCTTTGGCAGTTTCTAAACTTTGTTCGGGTGGTATACCAACTTCGCGTTCGCGCAATAAACTCTGTATGAAGGAGGTTATATTGCGACCAGCAATTGGTATATGTTTAATGCATGAACCGATAACATAACCTTCAGCCTGAAAATGAAAAGTAAATTTTTGTATAAAATGCTAATTTTTGAAGTTAGTAATTCAGAAAGTAAGTCAGTAAGCCACCTATATTTAGGTAACAAAGTTGGCACACGGATGGACAACGTGTAATTGATCAGGAAATGATAATTTGCTCTCAAATGATTATAATGGGCTTTGAGTTCAGTATAGTACATAATAAAAAAAAAAAAAACTTACCACTGGAATGACATGAGTAACACCATCACCACTATCAACAACGATGCCAGTGAGGGTACGTTCCTCGACTGGTCTGGAAGCCCAACTGGCAGCCAAAGCTAAAACAGCCTAAAAATTTAGAATAAGTAACTTTTCCTTTCTAGCTAAATCCATTTAAAACCAACCTGCACAGCAATATAAAGACCAGGAACATTAAAAGTCTCAAACATAATTTCAGCAGTATACTCGCGATTTTCGGGAGTATTTAATGGAGGTTCAGTAAGTAAAAAATGATGATCTTCTGGTTCGGCTCTTAAGTATTTAAAAATGCATTGTTCCAAAAAACGTTCCATCAAATCCCAATCTTCCACCAAACCATGACGGACTGGATACTATTTTATTCAAAGAAACAATAAAACAAAAGAAAATATACAGATAAAAATGTATGAAAATAAATAAAACGATTACACACAAACTATAAAAGAATAACAGTTTAAAGATAACAATTGATTAGTCATAATCAATATCAAAAAACAGTCATTCATGGAAACGAACAAAAACATTAGAATTGTAAGTATTCTTTAATTACCTTGACTGAATAGCCAGTGGCATCGAAAGCCTCATCGCCTATATAGAAATCCAAATCTTCAATACCTTTTGTTATGCGTCTGGTATTGGTGTCGCCCACACGGGCTGACTCTTTGATAGCAATAGCCGAGGGTATTATAAATTGTGGTTCTTTGTTGCCAGCAAATCCCAATTTTGTATAGCTGCAAATCATAAGTCAGCGAAAAAAATCAATTACATTTCAAGTTTTTTTTGCACTGTCCCAGTTTTTCCATAAAAAATGAAAATGTTTTTCTTGTACCCCCCATAATTTTTCGCAAGTTTTATGGGAAGAAAAAAAAAACATACACACACTTACCCGGTGCCTACATCAATCACACAAGCCGGTAAACGGTTAGCCATTATGTTTTTTATAATATTAACTTAATACTTTAGTTAGAATTTATCAACTAATTAAATAAATTTTGCTTTTTATTTAATATTTATGGGGAATTTAATAAATTTTTACAACCACACCTCGACCGAATATTAGATGTGTCACGAAAAAAACGAATTTCTACTGCTCCAACTTCGCTGCAGTCAATTTTTTTCTTGCTCAAAGATAAAATGCCAAACAAAAGAGAATGTAGAAAAATATGAAAGCGAATTCAAATGTCATACAAATAACAGGCAGTGTTGTATTTGGTAAACATAGTTCAAAAAGCATAAATAATAATATCTAATTGGAAAAATATTTAATTAAAATGTAACAAGAAGTAAAATAATTAAAAATTAATAGTTGAATGTTTTTGTCAGGGTTCAACAACAATATATAATTTAATAACAGTTGTCAATTTTATTCCAAACACCCTGTTATCTTTCTTCTATTATTAGTACTTTGACATTCTCTGCGTATTATAAATAAACGAATGGCAGTATAAAATAGAAATGCAAATAAAAGAAAAAACTAAAAGCGTAATTAAACAAATATTTTTTGTACAAGAAAAATTTGCTATAATTAATTATTAAATATATTTGTAAAGAAAAAAACAATAAAAACAAGTAGGCTAATTAAAATGTTCAAAACATAGCTACACGCAACAAATAACAAAACAATACAAATAAAATAAAATAAAATTGCAATATTAAATTTGTGCATAACAATTTAACGAATAAGAAATAAAAAAAAAAAAAACTACGTCACTTTTAGAAAACGGACTAGAAGAAAGAAAAGTAAAGCTCGTACACAAAAAAGGGTCGCAGTGAAAATATTGTATATTTCGCAAGAAACCACATATTGTTATACTTAAAATTAGTTAAATAAAGAACCAAATGGTTTAATAACATTTAAAATATCCAAGAAAAAAAAAGTTAACAAAGAGCTTTAGGCCAAAATTCTATAGAAGAAAAAAAAAAAAAACGAAATTGTAAATAGCCAGCGAGAAAAAACTACATTGTCATTTTACAAGGTCTTGCTTGTTTCAGTGTTTTAAGTTATTTCCTTTTAAGGTTCATGAGCCGCCCTCTAATTTATTAAAGAAAAAACCACGACAAAATTAAATTAATATATATCCGCTGTTGAAATAAATTCTATCAAACTGAGCACTTACGAAAGCATGGATTTACAGCATTTGGAAAATGGCATAGGAGGTGGTGGGGGAGGAGGCAGCGGTGGTGGCGTTGGTGTAAATGGAAATGCCAACACACAAGCCTTGAGTGAAATTGATTTTCAAAGATTGGCCCAAACTATAGCCACTAGTATACAAAAAATCATACAAAATGGTAAGTGAATGTTAAGAAGGATATATTTCTTTAAGATTTAATTTAAAAAAATCTTGTCTCCTAAAGTTTCCACTATGCAACGTATGGTTAATCAGTGCAATACGCCTCAGGACTCACCCGATTTGAAAAAACAACTGTTAGTACTAATTTTTGTATCGAAAATTTAAAGTTTAGATAAGTTAATAGCCTACACCACTGTAATATTTGCAAAGATTTACAATATTTTCGGCCACGACTTAACGATATCCTTACATGTAAATATGTATAGTTTTAAAACATTATATTGGTGTAGGATACCTTACAGTGGACTTTCAATGTCTTTACTTTTAACATAAAAAAACCCTTTTTAGCCATCAAATTATGACCTATACCCATCAGCTAGTTTCCGATACCAATAATCAATTGAAAGAAGTGGATAAATGTAAAGAACGTCATTTAAAAATACAAAGAGATCGTTTGGTTGATGAATTTACTGCTGCTTTAACATCATTTCAGGTGAGTTCTTTTTTTTATCAATTGTTTCTTATTATTAAAAGTTCCATTTAAATTTCTTATTGGAATATTATTATTAGTCATCGCAGAGAAAACAAAACAAGTTTGTTTTTAATATAAATGTGTATTTATATTAATGAGAGATTGTTTTGTTAATTCTTCTTTTCGTTCATTTATCATGATAAACATTTTTTTGTGCTTTGTTTGGTATTTAAATGATAACAATTGTATGGAATAGCTGTTTTCAGTCTATCTTAATAATTTACACTTTTGTTTAAAATAATAGCATTTGTAGCATAATTTTTGCCAGTGCCTCCGTTGGGAATCGAATTCGGTCTAATAGACTAGAAATCTAAACAATTCCCTTCCAGAGACCACACAAAAACAGCAAACATTTTTTTTAAACTTTATGAATGGAATGAATTTACAAAATTTTCTAGCCTTTTTGTAAAATATAATTCTTCCCTTAGGCCGTTCAACGTAAAACTGTCGATATTGAAAAGACTCAAGTACGACAGGCCCGGGCAAATCATTATAACATCGCCAAACCTCCAGGTAATTCCACAAATTCATCAAATGGCAGCAACAATTCCTTTTTCGAAGACAATCTTTTTGGACGCAAATCACAGCAACAACAACAGCAAATACAAATGCAAGATGATATTGATTTACAAGCTTTAGAGGAACAAGAAAGAGCCATACGTGAATTGGAGGTAAAGAAAAAGAACTTTATAATAAATCTAAAAAAAAAACAAAATATTGAAAATTTATTAACAGGAAAATATTGTGGGTGTTAATGAGATCTATAAAAAACTGGGAGCCATGGTTTATGAACAAGGTCTAACCGTTGATTCCATAGAATCATCTGTGGAACAAACTAGTGTTTATGTATCTCAGGGCACAGAAAATCTACGCTTAGCTGGTTCTTATAAGGTAATTATTTGGAATTTGAAATTTCTAATTTAAACTTATTTATAATGTATTGTTTTTTATTGCAGAATAAATTACGCAAAAAGAAATTAATATTGTTTGGTATTTTGGCCGCCGTTTTAGCAGTTATTATCTTAATAATTGTTTTGCAATTGAAAAATTAAAGCTGGTTGGTGTTAGTTATTTACAAACAAACTTATTTTTCTATTTTTCGTTATGATTTGTTAGAAGAGCGAAAAGAAATTTAAACAATTTGGGCCTTTTTTTATGGAAATTTTTAGGCAAAACTAAAATTTATTTGTATTTACTAAATGTTAAAGAATTAAATGAAAGGTATTAAACTGCAACACAGAATTAACGATTAAAGGAAACAAATACAATATATAAAACATATAAAAAACGTCCTTAAAAGTTAAACAACATAAGAAAAAGAACAAATTCTTTATAAATATATATACATTTTTCTTCACGTATTAATTTACTAACCCCCTTGTAGGTATTTTTGTTACATATTTCTTTTAAGGAATTTAAACTTTACAATTTAAATTCTAATTCCAAAAAATTTATTCCAGTTTTGTTTAATATAAATGTTTTGTAAATTTCTTTCTAGAATCTTATATTGGCTTAATATTTTTTTTTAGTATATTTTGTTTTATTTATATTATTATATAGTGCCGAGTGTATGTATTTATCCTTATAAATATATTTAAGTTTAAACATAATCTTCTTATTATAAATTGTATAAAGCAAAAACTTTAAATTATTCGAAAATTGTATGCTTAAATCCAAATGAAGATGATCAGACAAAACAAAAAAAGAAAAAATAAAAAAAAAACAAATAAAAACAATGTGAATTGTAGCAATGTATGATAGAATCATAAACATTTTGTTTTATCATCACAAAAATTTTATTAAATAAAAAAACAAACATGATAATATTTGAAATTAATTGTAATAAAACTAAGTAGTTTTATGGTGGAAAGGATAAAAGGATATACAATTTAAAGAGTGTTAAAGAATTTAAAAGTTACTGTTAGATCCGCTAAGAGCATTTTCAGTTCTTGTTCTTATGAATAATTTAAAAGTGACATTTTAAGGCTTAAAAAGTACCAAAAGATTTAAAGATTTTCATTAAAGATACTTAGTATTGTCAATGTTTCATATCAATATAGAAAATTCCATAAGTACCATTTGAAGTGCAGAAAAGCCAGTATCAAAATTCCCTGGCACCCATTAGCTTGTATCAATGGTAGTGTATAAGACAATTAAAAAAAGCAGTTCTAACAGTTTTTACGTATAACTTTTCGTAATTCCAAAAAAAAAAATCAAGCTGGACCGTCAAATGAGTGACTTCTATTTTTAAAGTTTAAAAAATTCCGTTACTTTTTTAAAATATACTTGGCAGCATTTCTTATTCCAATTTCATTAACAGGGTGGCGGAAATCAACTATTCAAAATTTCTTTGTCCAGAAACAAACTTGGTATCACTTTACTATAGAGACACCCTGTTGTCTCTTTTACATTAACAGCTGTCTCCATAATGACAAATGTAATTTTTTGTTTATCACAAAAAATCAATAAACAAAAACCTGAAGAAGAAAAGAATACGCAAAATATATAAATATATAGAAAAAATATGTCACGACGTACACAAGACATACCTATAAGACCACGTTATGGCCTAACCGACGAGGAACTGGAAGAAGAGCGTGTCAATCGTGAGGCAGCCGCTGCTAATACAAGATCACGCAAAACCTCAACAAATTCAAACTCAGATGTAGCTTCATCCTACAAAGAAATACCATTTTTGGCTCAATATGCAGGAGCTGTACCAGATAGTGTATTAAATGATTTGACACCGACAGCTAGTAGGCCAATGCCGGGTAGAGATGAAAGTCTGGACGATGAGGAAGATGAAGAGGATAATTCAAAAAGTAGTTCGTGTGATAATAGTAATAAAACACCAAAACGACCACAAAGTTTACTAAGTGATGCTATACCCTACGAATTGGAAGGGTCAGATGATGCTGATGGTCAAATGCGACATTTTGTGGCGGAGAATTTAGAGGAAAAGTTGCGTTTAACTAGTCCGGCGGGTAAAGAAGGTACTTTTTTAATTATTTAAAGAATTATTTTAAATTAAAACAAAAATAATATACAAAAATAGATCCCTATGACTATACCAAAGCTCCTTCACATCATAGTACACCCTCCACCTCCACGGGAGGTGGCATGACACGACAGTTTTTACTTATGCCTCAGCTACCACAAATCGATGCTAATGTTTTGAATGATATAGAAATTGAGGCCCAATATTTAGCCACCTCTGTTGATAATTTAACAGAGAACTTGTGTAATCTTTTACATTCCATTTCCTCTATAACAGCGGATAATGTAGAGGTGCACAAAAATGCTGTTAATAAGTTAACCGATAGCATGGATGCCAATATTAAGTGCATGTATACCATAATGGCTAAAACTGAGGAAATAACAAAATCCATGCAACCTACCGAACAAGTGGGATTACGAATGTAAGTTTTAATTAAAATTAAAAAAAAAAAATCAATTCATTAGATTGCTTTTCTTTAGACGAGAAATCAAACGTTTAGTTGATATGTTGGACAGCACTGTATAGGAGTTGGATGACGATGAACCCACGGATCTGATAAATACCAAACCTTTATGCCCTTTAATTTAAGTTTAACACCATCATTTATTTAAAATATTTACTTACAATAAAATAGAACTATACCAAAGATACTATAATTTATCCACTTTAGCTTTTAAAATACGTACACTATCGACGGGGCGATCATTTTTATCAGTTTCTGCCAAACCTATACGTTTAACCACTTGCATACCGGCATATACTCTACCAAAAATGGCATGTTTACCATCCAACCATTGAGTGGGTGCCAAAGTAATGAAAAATTGTGAACCATTTGTATTGGGGCCCGAATTGGCCATAGATAATATACCTGCCCCGGTATGCTTCAAATCTGGGTGAATTTCATCCGCAAACTCACCGCCATAAATAGAACTGCCACCACGTCCCGTGCCCGTTGGATCGCCACCCTGTATCATAAAATCTCTAATGATACGATGAAATACTACATTATTGTAATAGCCACGTCTAGCTAGTTCGGCAAAATTGCGACAAGTATTGGGAGCATGTTTCCAATATAATTCCACGGTGATTTCTCCCATGCTGTAGAATAAAAAAAAAAACACATTAAAAATGTTTGTTGTTGTGCAGGCTTTTTTTAAGACTTACGTGGTCTCCAGAGTGACAAAATTTGGTTGCCATGATTTATCTGGTATGCCAGCAGTAGCTGCTAAAATATTTCCTGTTGTAGCCAACATATTTTATTAATAATATTTATTTAAAATGTTAAAAAGTCTGATTTAGTGCAAAATTCTAAATGTAAACAAAGTTTGTGTTTGCTTACCAGCATGGTTGTTATTTAAGGTACTACAGGTTTTATCAACTGTGTAGTGGATTGTATTTATGACAGTGTTGTATAGAAAATTGCTACCGTTAGGTATTTTAGAGAAATATTTTTAATAAATCCATTTAAATTATTAATTTTTTGAAATTTTATAAAAAACTTTTTTAATTCTTTTCGTGATAAAACCTCCTATTTTTTCCTAATGTTTATCACTTGGATACCAAAATTCCAGGAATATAAAAATTAAAATAAATACAAACAATTTTACATATGTTTGTATGTAAGTATATGTATCTGAGAAAATATTAGAGCTAGATTCCTGAAATTTTGTACATACAACTTTGGCATCCAAGTGATAATAAACATTAGGGGAAAAATGGGAGGACTAGCAGTAGCAGGAGTGACATCTGAAGTAAATATAAAGAATCGTATATCTGGAAATCTATTAGAGCTAGAATTTTCAAAATAGTATGTATGTACATACATATATTGTTTTTAGTACCTCGTTTCTGTAATTTTCTCGAATCGAGAAAAAACTTAAAATATAATAGTCTTCCAGTTTTTAACAGTGTGACTCTGATTATTTTTAAACTGTACTCATTAAAATTTAATAAGAAATTTTTAAATTTCTTGTATTCACCCTGTTTTACACAAGATTATCATGCATTTTTCGCCAGATTTTCTCGATGCGAGAATTACAGAAACGGGGTATAGCAAGGTATATTTATTTTATAAGGTAGTGTTAAGGGCGAATTCAAAAAAACTTGGGCGAATCGAAATACAACACTGTACAGTATTTGTTTTTGTTTAGGCGAATTCTGGTGTAGGCACAATGTCAAAAACAGCTGATTTATAATATGAGGCGAATTTGTAAAAATTAAAAAAAAAAGTTGTTTGTAAATAAAAGATTTTTTGAAATATAATAAAATTGTTAAAATTCTTCGTAAGTAGCCAAAGAATTTGTCCAGCGTTTAGAAAGTTGTTTAATGATTTTCCCTATTAGGAACACTCTTCGGTCTAGACAAGAAAATGCTAAAATAACGTTTGTCGGCTGATCAGTGGAAGGCTTGTTTGGCAGACCTCACTCCATTTTTCTCTTTTTTTAATGTCTTTGGGCACATTAAAAAATGTCCCACCTCCAGCCTCCACTTTCTTCCCACATATTTTGCAACAACGCATTGTTTTTTTTTTAATTTCACAATAATAACACTTTTATCACTCACAATTTTTCACAATTTGATTATAAATTTAGTTTTACTTTTAAAAGCACACTTTTAAATGTCAAATTAAAAATATAAACAAACTTTGACATTTTGCATACATTAACCAAACGTAAACAAAGTTTGACATTAACTCTACACCGCGGCGAAAAAACATGAATGTGAGCAAAAAATAGTCAGCTGTTTTGTTAACACTACCTTATAAAATAAATATACCTTGGGGTATAGGATAGCAAAGTACGCAGGGTATAGCTAGTAACATATAAAAACAAAATGTTTGGTTATAGGTACTTGAAATCAATCATATGAGTGACATCTATACAAGTACATAGAAATTTAGTTGGTCTCTTCCCAAGTAAAAAAAAGTAAGTATTTGATTGAATTTTTCTTTTAAGGATGCAATCAAGTGAATGAAGAGATATGGAGAATATAAGCTTATTTGAATAGAAAAAAAAAAGCTTAAAATATTTTTTTTTTACTTTTTCACAATCTATTCCCACATAATAATATAATTTTACACAGTACATGCTTCCCAAAGTAATGTTGGAATATATAGCAAATTTTAAAATGGCATAATATAAATCTAGGATCTTTTTAAGTATATACAGTGTCTCTCATAAGTATTCGAATTTAGGTAAACTATGAAAAGAAACCAAATTTAATAATATATTTTGTGTGGAAAATAAATAAATTAATTTGTTATATTGTCTAGATAGTCCTTATGTTTGATATCACGCTTTTTAAAACTTGAAAAATTTGCCTTGACTTAAATTAATTGTGTTTTTTTAAAAAAAGTCCATGAAATTGCCTCACAAAAGTATGCGAATTTTTCCTGTATTTCATATTTGATCATATTATACGATACACAAATTTTAGAATCGCATGGTTTTATGCTTAATATTGTTTTAAGGGGTTACTATCAACCGCATGGATATATTTTTGACCCATTTGGTCCACAATTTTGGGGGATTTGTACCCTCTTTTCATGTAATATCATTAAAATGGCGATTTTTGGCTATATTTGTAATGTTTTCACCCTTTTTCCAGAGATAAAACCAAAATTTAATATTGGAATGTAATAGAACCCATAGGATATCTAAAAATAATATTTTTTGTTAAAGGGTCCGTACTTAATCGTTCCAAGATGTATTTTTGGTATCGTTTTTCAGTTTCTAATTGAATTATCTGGATCATAAGTCCCTTTTCGTACCTCTAGGGACCATATTTTCCGACAAAGTTGTCTAGTGTATATTCATGTACATATTGGCACTAATGTATTTTAAATTTTCAATATATTATAGCGGTATACAACCCCAAATCATGCCTTAACAAAACGTCATCCTATATAGTAGATTTCAGTTTTTACTACTCGTAACTTTCACGCTTATGTTGCCCGTTACAATAACACTGTAAGTTCTAAATTTTGGTTTTAATTTGATCATAGTAAATAATATTTAAACACATATCAACATTTTTGATGTGATCATAATGATATCGTGCCATGCAGCATGGAGGCCATTGGTATATAAAAATAATGATTTTACTATTTTGAATGGTGCTTCTTCGAGGCATGTTTTGGAGTTGTACACTTCCACAACACATTGAAAACTTAAAATGTATAAAAGCTGATATCTAAAAGAATATATACCAGAAAACTTTCCCCGAAAATAGTTGATCCTAGTATTATAAAAATGGACTTAAGTTCCAATATATTGAATTAGCGACAGAAGAATGATCCGAATAATTTATCTTGGAACGTTTAAATACAGATTCTTGTAACAAAAATATTATTTTTAGATACCCCAAGGGGTCTTTTAAGTCCCAATATCAAATTTTTGTTTTATCTCTGGAAAAAAGGATACAAATTTACAATTATGGCCAAAAATCGCCATTTTAATGATATTACATGAAAAGAGGGTACAAATTCCCCAAAATTGTGGACCAAATGGTCCAAAAATATACCCTTTCCGTGGATAGTAACCCCTTAAAACAATATTACGCATAAAAACCATTCGATTCTAAAATTTGTGTTGCGTTTAATATGATCAAATATGAAATACAGGAAAAATTCGTATACTTTTGTGAGGCAATTTCATGGACTTTTTTTAAAAAAGCACAATTAATTTAAGTCAATGCAAATTTTTCAAGTTTTAAAAAGCGTGATATCAAACATAAGGACTATCTAGACAATATAACAAATTAATTTATTTATTTTGCACACAAAATATATTATTAAATTTGGTTTCTTTTTATAGTTTACCCAAATTCGAATAATTATGAGAGACACTGTATGTATGTATGTACAGTGTCTCTCATAAGTATTCGAATTTAATGTATGTATTATGAAAACAGACATAATTTTATAATAGATTTTGTGAGAAAAATAAATAAATAAATTTATTATGTTGTCCAGACAGTCCTTAAATTTTATACCACATTTTAAAAATTAAAAAAAAAATAATTTACTTAAACTAATTTAACTTTTTTAAAAAAAAGTGCAAAAAATAGCTTCACAAAAGTATTCGAATTTTTTGTATAAATCATATTTAGATTAGCATTATGAAGTAAAAATAAATAATTAAAATGAAATTAATGTTTTGTATAGTATCCTTTGTTTTTAAAAACAACTTCCAAGCGTCGTGGGACCGTTTCTACCAATTTATGGAATAGTTCTGGCGTTATTATGACCCACTCTTCATACAAAGCAACCGTATGGTGGTTTTGGAGGATAATGAGTGATTTAAAAGTTGTTCTTGTAAATATAACCACAAATTTTCAATGGAGTTTAAGTCGAGACAATAACTCCATTGAAAATTTGATGAAAGAAGATACTTAGTGTTGTAAATGATCAACATTTTCACGTACCAGGTCGTGTATTTTGGATCGTTTTCTGTTGAAAAATAAATTGAATGGGTTGTAGCCCCATTTTGGTGGTACTAGCATGCAAATTCTGCTCTAAAATTGACAAGTGGACCTTCTAGTCTATAATAACAATAATAAATTTTAGCAGTCCAACACCGTGGGCGGACACAGAACCCCAAAATATGGTAGAGCAACTTGGGTCCTTTACAGTTGGTTTTAAGTTAGATAATTCAACGGCATCTCCAAGCTTTCGTCATATCATTTGACGACCATCTGAGCCAAAAATATTATATTTGTTCTAATCGTCGAAGATAACCTCCTTCCAGAATCCAATATTCTTACTTATGAGTCTATTTGCGGAGTCAAGACACTTAACATCGATTAACTTCGATATGAGCGGTTTCCACCTTGGTACTTGACCATGCAAATTATTGCTCCCTAGTACTTTGCCCACAATTTCGACACTAATTTTTATTCACAGGACTGTCATGAGTTCGTTGTTAATTTTTGGAGCTGATAGATGAAGGTTCCTACGGTATTTCCTCAGTATTTCTTTGTTGTCCTGTATTGACAGCAGTTTTGGACGACTTGATAATGGTAAATACTCAATGGAATTCTTTGTTCCATGCGTGTAATGACAAAATATATTGTCAATGGGAATCTATCAACCATTTCCTATATGTATTTAATTGATCGGCCTTGATTATACAGATATAAATTAATTTTTAATTTGAATTGATCAACTCTTTTTCTTTGAACATTTTAAGCGCTTACACAGGAAGGATTTACAACATAATTATGCAAATTTCCAAAAAATATAATGTTAAATATTCCATATAACCACTACCTGCATAATGGGTTAATTAATGGGCAATAAAACACGTGTTCAAGGATTCTAAAAAAGTTCTTAGAAAAAATTCGAATATTTTTGCGCAGTACCTGAAATGACCCTTTTTGGGTTTTTTCCATTTTCTTGGAAACCATTAATGAGTTTTTATTACTTTTTTCTTGTATTTCGTAGAAATAATATAAATTAATAAAATTTCATTAAAACATTTTAAATACTATTATTATTTTTAAAGTAACATCATAAAATAACACAGTAATTCATAAAAATAATAAATTCGAATATTTATGTGAGACACTGTATATTAATTTCCCGTAAATTGTGATTTACCCCAAAAAAACGGATTATTAATTATTGACGGACAAGGTCTTCTTCTTAAAAATCACCAAATCTTGTGTATTCTTTAAGAAAACCTGTGACTTATTAGAAACTGAATGCACTTTTTTATGTTTTTTTCCATTTGTCGGAACTTTAAGTCCATTTTTGATGGATACTTTATTAAGAAATACTAAAATACTAAAAATTGGCTCTAGTTCTTTATAGAAATCATCGTTTGTGCTATAGTTTTGAGCATAACTTTAAGTTTTGTTAAACGGGTTTTCAAATGTTTACTTTTTTGTGTGGTGTATTTTTTATACGAGGGCTACTATGTAATTTGTCAGCTTTTTTGGGCACTTTAAAATAGACGCTGTTCTAAAGACTTTCAGTTAAACTTGAATTTTTTAAGTTCTTAAACGCTCAAGTTCTATAATTCGTTTCATAATGGTCTTTCAAAATCTTTTTTAAAATAATCGTAAAAATAACTAAAATTCTTTAAGGCTCGCAATACATAGAGTTGCCCTCGTACAAGTTTATACATATGTATGTAGACTATATGACCTTAAGCCCATATACAGATAATCTTATGTAGTAGGGTATCTAATTTATACATTTACAATTTTTCTTTTTACTAAATTATGATCATTATGGATCGATTTATTACAATTGAGGACTCAGAGTTAAAGAGAAAGATTAATTTCTCGGAAAAAAATTGAATGGAATTTGATATTGATCTTAATACCAACATTTTATAAGGTCATATTGACAATAAACTGAGATTATATAAGGCGTAATTAGGGTCAGTTATGGATCGATCCTTACTTTTCACTTTGTGAGTGGAGTAACTGCACCTTATTAATTGAGAACATTTATGGAAAATTATGGGCCTTATCGATCTTTTAATGTTTAATATCTTACTTTCTGTTGGTATCCGAAATATGCTTAAATTTTACATAAAAAAAAGGCGTGACATTCAAC